CGTATTTGTGTTGAAAACGAAAACGGTGTGTATCAATCTTGTTGATAAATATCGTAAATTGACTAATATATCGGCATATATTTAAATATTAAATCCAAAGTACAATTCAACTACTAAATTTAAATTATCAATTAACTTGGATTTGGACTATTCGAAATTCTAATACGTAACATGATAAATTGGGAGCTCGTGTCCGAGATCTGGGCCCCCCAGTGGCACAGCGGTATGTCTACGGAGTTACGATGCAAGAATCCGGGTTTCGATACCCGTGGTGGGCAGAGCACAGATAGCCCATTGTGTAGCTTTAATTTCTTTAGCTAGTTCCGATTCTTTGTAGAAGCAAGGAACTCTTGCAATGATAATAGCGTTTCGGGGTGGTTTTTTGTGTGTTATGTTTGTTTGTTGTGTAGTTTTTGTTCTCATGTTATTTGAAGGTTTTATGCTGTCTTTTAGACGATATAAGCATAAAGTTATCGTTGTCTTTGTTATGTGTAGTTGAAAACAGTCGTATATATCTTACAGGAATGAAATCAAAATTGGCGGCCAAACTGATAGCTACACTTATAACAATGATAAGAATTTTACAGCAAATATTTATTCATTAGTTAGCTAGGCCGCGTATTTGTTTTACCGACCATCATGTCTCAAGTTGAAAAAAAAAACACCTCGGCCTGGCTAACTAATGAATGAATATTTTTTGTAAAATTCTTATCAATGCTATAAGTGTAGCTATCAGTTTGGCCGCCAATTTCATTCCTTTAAGTAGCACACTCAATTATTTTTTTGGCTGTATCTGCGTCTTTTTTTTTTCACACCTAAGGTGCTTTTGATTATATATGTATATATATATATATATATATGTATATGTAAATGAAACAATATTTAAAAATATTGAAAGAAACTCTTTATTACTGTTAATTTAAAACAAATAAATATAAACACACATACATAAAAGCTGGTTTCGTCTCTTAGAGGTTGGTTGGTCGTTTGTAATTAAGCACAAAGTTACACACTGGGCTATCTGTGCTCTACTCACCACGGGTATCGAAACCTGATTTCTAGCGCTGTAAGCCCGCATACATACCGCATAGAGGATACTCTTTAGTTTCTAAAATAAGGCTCTTTCTAACAAGAACTACTGACCAATGTACAACTTACCGTGGTTTTTAACCTCAAAGCTTTATATACATTTTAAACTTCCTCTGTGTAACTATGTAACATTTAATATGGTTTTAAATTTACTAATAACATAATTTTCATAAAATAATATTTATTCTTTTCACAAGAATACCAAAATGGAAATATTTGGAAAAAAAGATTCTTGTAAAGTATTATATTTTCCATAATACACTTATTAATGTGTTTGTTACCAGGTAATGGACTATCATTTGCATTTTTGACTTGCAGCCAGAAAACGTCACCACACCTGTGTTTAAAAATGTGCTTTTAAAAGCATTAAAAACACGTTCACATATCACTTTTTACCATCCTAGGACTTATGGTTTATTGGGTTTTGGCATGACATAACTATGAACTCAAACACATACACTAAGAAAAGGGTATTTTTCTATATGTATAAATAAAATGGTCGACACTGGTTTCTTACGAGCATATTGCATAATATTTTAGTTTTGTGGTATACAACTTAATTTATGCATACAAACATATACAAACAACTTACAGCATTGAAATTGTGTTACTTATAACGTTTTGAGTATGTTATATGCATTAACCTTGAAATTCAAATTCTTGTTTGTTGAATTCCGAGCAAAGCTATCTGCTCTAGCCGTCCCTAATTTAAAAGTGATAAGACTAGATGGAAAGCAGCAAGTCACCACTACTCTCCACTAATGCTTAGACTCCTCTAATCAAATATGAAGTTTGACCGTCACATTACAACATCCCAATGAAGAAAGGGTGAACATGATCGTTGATGGGATTCGAACCACGCGACCCGCAGGTTGTGAGTTGAGCGCCGTAACAACCAGGTCATGCCGGGTCATCAAATTATTATGTGACATCTTTGCAGTTAAAATGTGTAAGCACAATGAATTACAATATTATGTAAAGCTAGTTAGATATGAGTTTGTTCTGAATTTCGCCCAAAGCTACACGAGGGCTACCTGCAGTAGTTATCCCTAATTTAGCAGTGTAATACTAGAGTCATTACCACCCATCACCAACTCTTGGGTTACTCTTTTTCCAACGAAAAGAGGGATTGGCCGTCACATTATAATGCCCCCATGGCTGAAAGGGCGAGCATGTTTGGGGTGGAGATTCGAACCCGCGACCCTCAGGTTGAGAGTCAAGCGCCTTAACCACCTAACTTAAAACGGTTAGACAACTAGTCTATTTGGGCTTTCAAGTTTGATATATATATATATAATTCTAGAAAACTTGATACTTCAAAAACATTATATAAACTAAAAAGATATCCTATAATATTTAAAAGCAGAAAATAAACGAAAACGATATTCGAGACGGACTATTAAAACATAACGTTACATATTTTTATTTTTTAATCTATATTAGCATAATATGGTCAAATATCAATTAATTCAGAGTTTTCATATTATTATTATAAATTTATTATAAATATATCTTCTGCCATGAGGATTTCGTTTTCACGCTTATGAGAATGATAGATGAAGCAATGTAAAGTTTAAAATATTCACTTGCAGACTACTACCATGACAATAATTCTTGGTATAACATATTACAATTAAGCCAAGCGTAAATTTCTTTATTTCTCTGGAATTTTATGAAATTTGAAATGACTGTCCAAGGAAATAAAAATTCGGTTCAATGGCCCATTTGCAATAGAACACTATTGTTAAATATAAATCATACATTAATACAGCATTGTCTTATCTTAATCTATATTTTCATTTTTATATATTGTATACAAACTTATGTATTTGTAACCTGTGTGTTTTTATTATTCTTAATCTACCCACCAGTGGCTCAGCGGTAAGCCTTCAGGCTTATCACGCTAAATATCTGGGTTCGATACTCGTGATGGGCTCAACACAGATAGCCCATTGTATAGCTTTGTGGTTAAAAACCAACAAAATATTCTTAATCTAATTGGCTTGCATAGCTTAATCTAATAACTTTAGTATAGGTTTGTGGTACGTTGAGAACTGAGAACTTTCAAACGAAATATACGGAAGGAAGTGATACATACGATGACTAAACATTTATTTAACGATCGTGCACAGACTTTCATAGAGTTTGAATAATAAGATCCGTGGGCGTCACTCACTGACATGAACACCCCGTGTCTCACTCACTTACCCTTCTGAAGAATAATGGAACGTTCTGAAGTAGTCGGAGAAAGCATCCTAGGGACGAGACTAAGCTTACAACCTCCATCTTTGTTTCATAAGTCAATCTCGATCCCGCGTGTAACATGGTATGGGTATAATTCAGTTCAGTCAGCTGAAAGTTGGTCAAATCGAGTGTCAGTGAATCTTGGACATGTCGTCTAAACAGTAGATTACTAACCAGTGAGCAAATGAATGAGCACCATAAAAAAACAATATTTAGTAGTGTAATCAAGTGATGTATAACTATAAATGCTACTACTACTAGTACTATGAAGAGTGTGTGTGATTACCCAAAATTTTGGAAGCCATCAACAACAGTACAGTTGTCTTATATTTTTACTCTGATCCTGTTGAACTTCGCAGCATCTCAGAAAGGTTAGAAGTTATATCCTTACTTTTCAGTTTTCTTGTGTTGGTTTTCATTTAAATATTTCCACATTTATCTGTTTGAGGATATTAAAAATAACATATTTGGAAATTAAAGTTAACTTCCTGTAGTTAATAAAATATTTTCATCTAAAGTTACGTATTTCATGAATTATGTGTGGTAAAACTAAGGCAGATTATTATGAAATATTATAGAAGATATATTATTATTACTATCTTCTAGCCAAGCCAACATTACGAAAATTCATAGTTCCAATTAAGTTGTCAACTTATTTGTTGTTTTATTGAGTACCACCAGGCGGCTACAGTGTCTCAAATAAGTTCAGTAGGTGAAGTTATTTTTGCTTGACCCAAACAACTTTCCTTACGAATTCCTTAGATAAGCGACTAACATTATAATTTCATGAACTATTGAAATAAACCATTAAAGTTATATTTTCAGACAAGTTGCAATTCACAAATTAAACATTAAATGATGATTAATTAAGTTAAATCATATTTAGAATTTTAAACTTAATTGCATTTTATTTTTCGTTTAAGGTAAGGTTCATTGATGAAAAATGTTAGTCCATCGAATAAGACCATTTCATATCTTAAACTGACGTCACGTTGGTGACAATGTGATGCCAAAAAATTAATAATGTTTCGTTTTTTTTGTTGTTGTTATCACTATCACATGTACAATGTGTGTGTGTGTGTGTGTTTATTCAAATCAAAACTAAAATTTCTTCTAAAGGCAAGTCCATTAAAGTCAAACTGTACACTACACTGCTTAAAATAATACCCATGAAACAGCAATATATTATACATTTTACAGTTAGAAATCAAAATTAAACTATAATACGCCACCACATCAGTAGTATTGTGTGGCATGCAATACGCATTACAGTGTTTATGAAGTAATGACGTAACTTGAGTGACATAATAACTAAATTTGTATTTAAATGTTTGAAATTATAAATTCAGGAATATAAATGATAAGAAAAATAATTAATTTTCTTAAGTGTTTTTAAATATACGGTTGAAATCAATGAAAAAAATAAACATACAAATAATTATTAGAATGCATTTTTTACCAGCACACAAAGTAGCGAGACGAGCCTCAAAACACGCGTGCTTCCAGATATAGCCGTGGAAACTACACAACGATGTATTTTTAGACAGTATTTAGTGGTATAATAATATAAACCAGACCACTTACCGCTGGAAGAAACCAAACTAAGGTGTATTGTTCAGGAATAGCTGTAGTGGTTAACTTTATAAAAAATCCAGAAGTTTCATTTTTGAAATGCTTCTAAAGGTTGGTGAAGAAAAGCACTAGGAGCAGGATAAAGTAATGTTCGTTTCTTGGAGCATTTTTATTTTCCCATCAATTTCTCCTTTCGCTAATGAAAAATCATTGCACACTTTTGTAATTCTTATTGTTTATAAATTAATATTAATTAATTAGTTATATATATATTACCAATTTGGGAGTGTGACTAGTGCTGAGCATAAGTTTATGACTCAGACTGCAACATCATAAAATCAAGCCGTTTATTGGTTTTAGTGGAATTTAGTAAAAAAAAAAAAAAAAACCAAGTACAGTACATTTTACAGATAACCTCTAAATAGTTTTTTTTTTCAAATTTAAACATACATTATTCATGTCCCATAACAAGTCAATAGTTAGCTATGTGTTTAGACTATAATGCTGATATCTATATTTCTTTGGCTTTAAGATACCTACAAAGTAATAATAATATTTAATTATATGTTTTACATAGCTTGTTGTTTAGAAATTAGTGAGGGGCGCCTGGCCCGCCACAGCTCCTACGTCCCTGATATATTTCATGCATTAAGCCTACATGCCTAGTTTTATCATTCGCATGCTATATATGCATATAGTATTAGTCTGCGCTATATAAATTTCTGTGTATTTCGAAATTAAGTGGATGATTTCCTCCTCTTTTGATTAGATTTCGTTATTAAAATACATACAAAGTTTGTTTTTTTTTCGCTCACTCTTGTCTTAACAGACTGAAGTAGTCGTTCTAGTGTTGTCTGTAGTCACGGTTTAAAATTCCAAAAGCTGGCAAAATATTGGAAAACCACCCCTGATTTCGAGACACAATGGACAGATTTAGAGTATTGTGGAAAACAATCTCTAATTAAGCTGTTTTTATAACAATTGTTTAGACCATCTCGTTTTCGAATATTTTGTCAGCTTTTGGCTTTCTAAAACCGTAGGCTCTAATCTTCGGTAATGGTAAGACGTGAGACGCTGAGAGTGTGTGAGGCAACTCGAGGCATTCCGGGAAAACGAAATTTGTAGTCCAAACGTGAAGTGACGTAATTACGCTCTAGTCGGCTCTATTATAATATACATTTGAAACATGAATTGTTGTTATTTAGATATGTAGAGACGGAAGAAAAATTATGTTTCAAAATTTAATGAAAGCATTAACATTGTTTGAGTTTAAAGTTTTTAGCTCTAATTTTACTTATACAGTACACTCAAAGACTGCATAGTCTATGCCATTTCATTCACTGTACTTCTGGAACTGTTACAAAAAAGTCAATAATATTTTATATGAACGAATGATTTTGAAAACAAGATGGATATTTCATTAAACGTTTAAAAATGTCTCTTCCACATTATTTGGAAAAAAAATAACACTATTAAATACTGTGATAAAAAAACAAACAAATATTTTAACTATGTTTTTAAATGTTATATTGACTTTCCTTTTAGTTATTCCATAATGAGAACATTTAGAGTTTTGATGATGGTTGCTTTTGTTCATGAAATTCATTAGCTTAGAATTAAGGATAGTTTAAATTGAGGAAAAATAGAAACTTGTTTGTATATATTTGTTTAGTTAAAATATGAGTTGAAAGTGTCTTTATGTGCAAAATGTTACTTTGTCAGTTGAATTTGACACATGCTTTTTAAACATTATAAATTTGTCTGTAGAAAACTTAGGGTGTGTTATAAATTATATATATATATATATATATATCATGGTATCTGGACAATTAGACACATAAAAAATAAAGAAGTAGGATATTTAGACATCAAATATTTTTAGAGGGGTGTTAAAACTTTTGAAACTTTGCAACATACTTAAAATCTTATTATAATGGAGCTTGCAATGTATATGTCCAAAACTCGGATCTCAAAAACTACCACACCGATCATCACCAACTGGATAATATTTTTATAACTAGGCAGTATTTTTATAGCTGAGCAATAAATAAAACAATTGAAATTTGTACAAAAATGATATGTTTCAGACTTAACCAATAAAAATTACAAATAAAAAGGGGTAATTGTCAGATTTAATCAATACAAATTACAAAAAAAGGAGTGTTTCAAATATAAAACAATCAAAAACAAACTTTGAAAAAATATATATTTTTCTTTAGTGAAAATTTCATGAGTGTTGAAATATAAAAGCAAGGCATTTTCATTGATAACTGCATCTACAAAGAAATACTTTAGTAAAGTCTACTCTATGATGTAATGCTGTGATGATAGCTCATTTTTAAACTAAAATTCCAATAAAATCCTTTTTCTCATGGATGGTGAACATTATTGAATGTCAAGTACGTGTACATTGTTATAGAACTATCAGACAAGTCCAGAAAAGGTTGCAGGCCCAATAGCCTTCTGCAGAAACTAGCAGTTATAGAGTGTAAGAAATTATGCATGATGGTTGTTGAAAGATAAAAAAAGAAGTATGTTGTAGGTGAAACCACCAAAGACAAGATGTTAACTACAGATATATATATTTATAATATATATTATTGTAGATACCATGTTTCAGGCAATGCCTTTCATCAGGTATCTCTAGTTGAAGAGTAAAACTCTAATTGAAAAAGTTCTAAATAGAAGGTCGTGTGACAATATAGAAAATAAACGTGTCTAAAAATGATTGAAATAATATGAGAGAATTAGTAATATGTGTGTGTGCGTGTCTGTACACTTTAAAGAAACTGAGAAATTGGTAAAAGTAAAAAAAATGGAGTAGTTGACACAAGTTATTATTAGATAAATACATAATTTGCTGTATAAATAGAAATTAAAACTAAAGGTTAGAAAAAAACTAAAACATTCATTTATCCTATTGGAGTGAATAGTTCCCAGGTCAAAAATGATTATTTTCTTGTACTTCACATTTGTATTTGTTTATAGGAGCTTGTTCAAAGCAAAGGTGCTTTCAACCTTGTGACAGATAGTCTTTCCTGCCCAGATAAGTTTTCTGGTGGCATTGCAGTCTATGGGGTTTTCCTCACACCAATACATTCTCCACTATCCTAAATCACCAGTTACCCCTCTTTTGGTCCCCGGTACCTCATCCTCAGGCTTTGGTTATAGATGCCTTCAGCCAGGATTAGTTGCAAAAATTTCTATATGTTCATCCCCCTATCCAATTGGTTTATCAGGTAGATTCCCTTGTCCTTCTGATCGCTCCCTACTGGCCCGGCTCAACCATGGTTCCCTCGTTTACTCCAACTACAGTTATTCCCTCCTGTACCTCTTTCATTATTACCCGAATTCACTTCATGCCTAGCTTTTGTCTTGTCTGTGGCAAGGAGTTCTGGTTTCTCCCGTTGTGTAGCTTTTCATTTCACTCAATCCACCCGTCCTTCCTCTATGGAAGTGTATCAACGAAAGCTGAAGGTCTTTTGCACATGGTCCTAGGCTTGGAGATTTCCTGCTGCTTGTCCTATGGTTGCTGGTGTCTCCAAGTTTCTCATGACAGGGGTCTTGAGGCTCATAGATTTCAGGTTATTGGGCAGCTATATCCCATATTTTTTCGTCTTTCCCGTTACCGCATGCTTTTTTTTCTTGCCCATCATTACCATGTTAATCCATTCCTTCAGTATTCATCGACCTGCTCTTCCAGATAGAGACATTACTGTGGTCCTCCATTCCCTTACATTACCTACCTCCGGTCGAATCTATTTCCTCGTGTTCTTTATTTTACTTGTCCCTTAAGGGGTATTTCCTTCTCCTTTTGGCCTATGAGCATCGACACTCTGACTTGTTCACCATTGCACTTTACCACCATAAGTATCTTCTCCTTTATCCGGATTGTTCCTTACTTCCCAAAACCTCGGTGGCTCGTGAGGTTAACTCCTCCTTTATGCCTATTTTCCTTCCCTGATCTGGATAGACTTCTAGGTCCTGTGCGTGCTCTTCATTGTTATATTACCTGCACAACTTTCTTCCATGGTTCCTGTCTTTTTATCTTGTGGCAATCCTCTTTGTCCAGAGATTTCTCCCCTTTTACCTTCCCCAGTTGTGTTCCCTGTTTGATCTCATTGTCCCTTTCCCACTGTACTTTGTTCCATTTTACCTCTCAACAAATCCGACACCTCACCTTTTCCTTTGCTTCTCGTCTGTGTCAGCCTTTGGAGAAAATCCTACAATCAGGCATGTGGACCAACCCTAACACATTCATCTCTCATTACTCACATCATATCGTGATTTTGGCTTCCTCGGGTTTTTGCCTTCCACCTGTGGCTGTACTTCAGACTTCGGTGAAACTCTGACACTGGGTAAGCCTTTATTAATGTTTTTTTTCTTTCAGGGTTCCATTTTTCATACCTTCATTACATGGATCCCTCTCTGTGGCAAGTGGTGCCTGACTAGTTATTCTTTAACTCTAAATCCACACAATATGCCATGCTGACTAGCATTTTCTTTTTCATGGCTTCGCATGCTTACCTTTGAGATGGGATGTTTCACAAGACCACTTGTAGTTGAATAACCTCACAATATTTGTTTCATAAGTTGGCCTGTCGTGGACTGTACCACCCATGGACATCATGGGTAAAGCAGAAGGGGATAGCTGCCCATTCCTGCCATGCCTTGATTGAATAAGTAAGTATGGTCTGCTTTTCAAACTAGGGTTTTGTGATCACCCATTGCACTGTCTCGGGTGTTGACATTCTTCCAGGCTCTCCAATTCATTCTCAGCCCCTTTTCTTCTAGTGGAGTATTGGAGTCCTTACCAGTTCCAAGCCGCTGGAGTGGTCAACCATGGAGGCACCCTGCTGGATGGGTTCCACAAAAGATGGTTATAACCATTCAGTTCAGAGTAGTGCAGTGGTGTTCTGCCATGTAGGTGATGTAATATTCTCTAATTTGTGATTAACCCTATAATGAAGTGAGACATCAAAATGCAGCTCACCCCTTCAATTGGGAGCCCTCTCCCTACTCTCGCGTGGATGTTGGTGCCCTGTGGGTACCAATCAACATAATTCCTCACACAGGTTTAGGGTTGTCTATCTTCCTCCTTTGATTTCCTCCTTCTGTGTTGTGGGCTACAGCAGGGATACATGGTATTATTCTGGTTTTATCCTTGGATCTCCCTTGTTCTCTCTTATTACATGGATGTTATTGCCCTTTGGATGGTTACAACCTGTTTCATGGTCACGGGAATCGTTGCGTGCAATAGACTTCCTTTTGATAGCGGATGTCAAACTCCTGGATCTACAGCTCAGAGCTAATCCTGTGTAATACCTAGGAATTAGAGTGGTTTTCAATTCCCTGGTTCTTGGGTTTGAGGTGAAAATGGTATGATCCTTATCCTACCCTCTCACAGATGTTGGTACCCCACAAGTATGTTTTTTGTGTAGTTAACTTACCGAGTACCATCTGCTGCGTTCTAGCCACTCTACACCATGGGGCGCATCCTCGTTTACCCACTTTCCTTATTGTGAGATTGAGTTACTATATCTTTCTCCATTTAGAATCACTTTCCTACCGTATTGTCTTCCACTAATATGTTATCCTCTCATTTTGTTCCATGATTTCTTACACATTCCACGTATGGGCTAAGAGTATACCTGGATCAGACGTGGTGCAATTCCTCTCTTCATATCTGACTCTCATCTACAGAGGTATCCTTCGGACGCTTTTGGGGGTACATCTGTTCTTCCCTCACACTGGTCCCTTCTCCTAATCAGTGTGGGATTCTAGCTAATCTTGTGAAAGAAGGGAAGTTATAATTTTTCTATACTGAAAATGTATTTCTGATAGGTACTTCCCTCTTCGTACACTTTCAACCCTTCGTCCCCACTCACTTCCAGTGTTTCTGTCGTCTGCCAAACTTCGAAATGATAGTTCGGTAGATGCACATAGAGGGAGTCACCTGTGTCATGTGAGTGTACTATTCTCCTAATGGTGGAGAAGTGATATATATGATGATTTGTATGAGAGACATGTTGGAATCATTTGATTCCAATAAGGAGAAGAGCAGAAGGCTTGTGACATGCATAATAAAAAAAAAAGTTTACATATAGAGGGCAAAAATGATTGAGAATAGCTAATCTTGTGAGAAGAGAGAAATACATTTTCAGTATAGGAAAATTATAACTATTGGCAGGATAGGAGTCATCTTCAGCTAAAACAGCTTTACTTTTTCTAACAGGGTGGTTGCCTTCAGATGTGGTAAATGCAGTTAATTTAAGGGAGTTTAAGGAAAGGCTTGATAAGTATTCAAATGATAAGGGCTGTCTTGGAGTGTCTTATTTTCATTTTAGAGATTAGTCTAATAGATGGGATAGCCTAGATGGACCAATAGGTCCTTTATCGTTAAATTATATGTTTTTCTTACTTAAAAGTACTGCCATAAATTGTGTTCTGTCAAATCTTTTTACTGACATCTCAGTCATACCCACACTTGATTCATGGCCTTGCATATTTGTACAATTATCATGTGATTGGGAAATCTCAGGATCATTTATGCATACAAGTGCATCAGTATAAAGCATTGCAATACAATATGCTGCATAGTGTAAAAACATTAGTAATACCTGTCAGCCATATTTTATAAATAGCATTCTAATTTTGTTTTTACAATAGTATTTGAAAGTTTGACACCATTCCATGTACAATTCAAGAAACTAGAATACAATATGTAAAACATAGTGATAATTAAGAAGAATTTCAACCCCCCCCCAAAAAAAACATATTGGTGTGCCACAAAAATGTAAAACTGTTTTAGCAAGATAATTGTTTACATAATGTATTGTGATGTCTTATTTGCACAGCTCAACCATGTGCAGTTTTGTAATGTTATATAACTTTAATTATTATAAATTATTTCACATAAAGAAATGCAAACTTGTGTACAGGCATGTGTGTGTGTGTGTGTATATACATAATTTTATTTTGTATATTATGTGTAGTTCCCCGCCTGAACCCGTTCTTCTTCCCAAATGGCTTGCATGAAGGTCAGCGTGCACGTGTAGTGTGTACAACGTATCAGGGAGACCCGCCTTTCAAATTCAATTGGTTTAAAGATGGTCAAGACCTTCCAGCAATTCTTGATGCAGATATACGTCAATTAGATGATTACACCTTTTCTCTGACCATTGACCCTGTGAAAATTCATCACAGTGGAAACTACACCTGTCTTGTTAGTAATCATCTAGGTTCAGATAAAAAAACAGCAAATCTTTTGGTCACAGGTATGACATCATATTGTGATTCCATATTTTTAAAACTTATCATGGTACTAACAGATTCTAAGAATTTCACATTTTGGGCCATGTACATGTTTCACTTAAATTAAAGAAATTTCAATATTTGCTCAAAGCATGGGTGAATCAACTGTATGCATGAGATATTTTTTTGCCTGTTTAAAAGACATACTCTGAGCCTAGTAAAATTTTTGAACAAGTGTTTACTTTAATATGATTATTAATTGTTGATACCTTACATATTACCATGTTAGCTTATATTGTTCTGTGAATATTAAGGTACACAACATTTTTAATCAGAGATGTTGGCTGTGGATTATATTTTTATTATTAAACATATTAGGAATAACATGTTTGGTTTTATATAGGTCCACCAAAGTGGCTTGTAGAACCTACTGATGCAACTATCCAGGCTGGAGGCACTGCAGTTGTAGACTGTAAAGTTACTGGGTCTCCAGCTCCGAGGGTGACATGGAAGAGAGTTAGAGGTTGGTAGGCCTGTATTAGTTTACAAAGAAACTGGATTTTTTATGTTTCAGTGCATAGAATGCAATTAATAGAATAAGACTGAAAGATACATGGTGGTGTTCATTCTGAAAATGATCTTGAAATGCCTTTAATGGACATTTGAAGTAGAAAAATACTAGTTTTGTACCCTTATAGAATTGTGAAATAGATGGAGGCATTTTGTTATTGATATGCAACTCAAATGTTACTTTATGTTGGAGAGTATTTGAGAAAATATTCTGCTTGCTATCAAGGTATTCTTCAGATAAAGAGCCAATGCCTATTAAGTTTTATTTTTAGTTGTTATTGTGGTACTCATGTATACTGATATTTAACATATAAATTTAAAAGTATCTGCAAAATGCACATTCAGAAATGTACTATATAGAATAATTCCAATTCAGACAAAAAAGGAAAGAAATAAACACAAGTGAACAAAGGGCAAAGAATAAGAGAATTTCATTTTGATTTGCTGCTGAAATTCAGACAAAATGTTTAAAATGTGGTATACCAGAATCATATGCTGCATATGTCAACAACTATTTCAAATAACACTTATAGGAAGGAAAAACTCAGAACTCGTATCAGTTTGTATTTGTCCTAGCCCTTGAGATGGGCTCATCCCTCAGGGAGGTTAGACACAAGGCCAAATTGGTAAGTTTTTAGGCATTGACATATGTTAGTTCTACCTGAGAAAAGAATTAGTATGTGTTTAAGACCTTTCAACATTTGTTTAACAAGAATTTCGTACTATGTGCAAAACATCTGCTTGAAAATAGAGAAAAACAAGCAAATGTACCGGTGATGGGAAAAGTTAATCTATCTCAATTTAAATTAATTCATGGAATTTAAAAAGATTAATTGTGTCGTACTTTTGGTTTCTCTCTAAGCTATTTATACTGCCCACTGCAAAAAGTAATTGTTGCTCAATCCAGTCATGCTAAGAACTGCTCAACAATAACATTTGGTAAATCTACATTTGTATTTTTTAAGTTATGTCATATTTTGAGATGTGAATGATAGTGTGCTTAATTACTAACAACTTAGTGAAGAATATCCTGCTTGTGAAATGAAATTTGGCATCAACATTAGTCATACCTGTTCTCCCATCATTTCAAAAGTGAATACTGAACTTTGCCTGCGTGCATAGCTTTTCAAATGGGAGACAGACAAACATTTAAACAGACACCACAACTTGCAATATATATATATATATATATAAGATAAAACCTGAATAAATCTGGCTAAAAGAGTTTGTAGAGAAAAAAATATTCTGTTAATGACACTTCTGAATTTGCTAGTAGCTTAAAACAGACGCAGTTCAGTGATGATGCTTACTGTGCTAGTTATGATATCAAGTCATTGTTTACAAGTATACTTCTAGACCAACCATTGATCTTTGTTCTAACCTTGTGTTTGCGTGAATGAAATTTTCCAAGGCATAACTAAGCATGTTTTTTAAGAACTTTTATGTTTGGTAAGAAAAAAATCTCATTGTATGTTTAATGGTAAAATCTATGAACAGATTGATGGAGTGGCTATAGACTCCAGCCTTGCCCCTGACAATACTACAGTCAGTTCCATGTACTCCGAGATGACAACTGGGAGCCAATTTCAAAATAACCATTGTTTGATTATTGTTCAAAATGAACTCTTTCTAATGATTATAAGCATAGATAGGTATCATCTATATGTAGGCTATAAAGCCTAAACAAATCAGTTGAAGATGGGTATGGTACCTGTCAGGGATTGAAAAAATTTATTACTTGTTTTAACTGTATTTATTCATAAATATTTTAAACGTGTGTGTGTCAATAGATTATGTAAGCATCTTGTTGTCTAGACCTACCTCTACTCAACTACCATTGTGTTATTGAAGATATAGAGAACAAAAGTAAAGACTTTCATAGCTCATTGGTCACATGACAATACATCTGAAGTTTATGTAATTTTTTATCCCTTTCTACACATGTATTAATGTTTGTTGACTCGCATTCAAGATTTTATTGAACTACTATTTTATGAATTTATGTCAATAAGTTTAGTATAAAACTGAAGATTATAATTCAAATTTTAGTATTATACATTATTTGATCTCTTAATTTAAAAGTAAATATCAAAAAATGCTGCTAAACATTGATTTTTGTATGCCACATGGTATGTTGAAAGCAGCACTTGTTCAAATTAAATATTTGTGATGTCAAAATACAAAGTCCATATTTTTTCTGAATTAGGAACTCAAATTACCGATATTGATAATCTAGAATATAAAATAAGAACCTCCTATCTTTTCTATTTGATGAGATATTGCTCATGTACTGAATCAAACACAGTGGCCCTGCTCACCTCTTTCCATTTTTAGAAACAGTCCCTTATATACACTTAATTCTGTCTATGACATGTGAATAACCAATCAAAAGCTCAGAATGTCCCCTAGTGCCTTTTTCAGTCACTTTGCTAGTAAGGTGAGTTTCATATTTTTTTAGACCCAAATACACCTTAATTATTAAGCTTGATAAATTATAGTGGAATTCTGTGGTGTCAATATAGTAATTTATGATTTTTATAAAACCTAAAAAATTATTACGTTTCACCTCCTCTATGTGTGAAATTTTATAAGGCTTGGCAACCTACAACAAGCAGCAAATGAGAACAAAGGTTGTAACTAAAAGAGAGAATTCTTTGATTTACTTCTTTATTTACTTTTCTATGTTTTAAGAAAAATACTTTTAAAAAGTTATTTGTAAATAATAATAATGTATATACATGTATTATGCATAATCATTGATATGTGACTGTATTTTACAAAATACTAGCCAACTTTTTAAAGGTCAGTTTTATGTTATTGGATATGGTAACATGAATGTACATGTGCTGTGTCATTGTAACTTCTGTATTGTTAGCTAGGCATGGCTGAAATTCAATATAATAAATATATATATATATAAATGTATAATGTTATGAGATTTAAGCTATTGATTCTAAATATTTATGTTTTCATGTTATAATTTATAGTCATTTTAGAATGAAAAAGGCATAATTTATATTTATTTTCTAATTTTATACAGTGGTTATGAGATTGGTTAAATCTACCAAACCCGTACATAGATTTGTTACTGAAAATAACAGATAAAATACAAAGTTTTTTTCTTAAAAAAATATTTGATAACTATCTGGATATTATAAAGATTTCGCTTGTGAAATTTGAAAATGTTTTGATGCATGAAAGTATTTTTAGTCTTAAAATTAAAATTACTTTGCACGTTAGATAGGCAACATGTGAAAAGAAAAAAAAAAGGCATGAGAAAAACATTGCTTTACAAACCTAAAAAAGATAATTTAGTATTTTACGTATGAAAGCAAAATGTAATGTTTGCTGATAATGTGCTAAATTTCATGAACATACACTTACTAATTTAAAATTATAACATGAAAACTATGACAAGCATAAAATGGTTACAAGGTCGTTCCCATGGACCGAGCCTGTGCTGAAAGAGTTAAGTAGGTAATGCCCTTAAAACTTGTGGGAAAATATTTTTTTAACAAAAATTGTTTTTGTGAAATGATGCACACCTGTACATACAGAAATCTTCTTCCCTGTGCATCTGCTTTAGAGATTTACATGCCATTAGCCTTTAGGAAACTTTCACCAAATGTTTCAATTTTTCTTGTGAATTGTGCTACCGTATAACAAAGGTCATCTGTTTGCCATTCTTTGGCCCTGGCTGTTGCTGCATTTTGTCAGGTTTGTCTTATACTTATCATAATACTAACTCACCTGTCTGTTTTTTTAACCCTGGTCCTGGCCTTGACTTGAGACACTCTTTGTCATGTCTTCTTGGTGGTACCCCTCTGGCTGGCTTAACCTTGGTTTCCTCTTCTATGTAACCTAACAACCCAACCCCTGCTTTCCTTGCCAACTATACACTCTATTGCTTTACCGTATTCCATTTCCTTTCTATTAAGGGACATTGTCCTTCCACCTTCATGTTTAGATTTGTACAGTCCATCACCCATTGAACCAAACATTCCAATCTTGTAATCTTTTCCAATCAGGATGTCCTTCTCTTGGGCCCATTCACCTGTGTAAGGGGGCGTGGCTTTTAACTTTGATCCATCTGCTGCCATCTTCCTCCTGATCATCCTACCATGGAACATCTCCCTCCCTTTACTTGTCTGTTCAACAGGGTTCAGCTGTCTCCGCCATTGCAAGGTGTTCCCTCCCCAGTTCTCTCCACCTTTTTCCAGTCCTTTTTAATCTATAGACAAACTCAACTTGTTCCCATATTGGACTGTGACCTCAGTGTTGTCTTGTACACACTTACACATACCCCTTTGGGCCAATGGCAACCTGGAACTTTTACCACTTTCTCTTCAGACATATTCCTCTTACTTTTTGCCTGTGATTGCTTTGTGTACTCCTTTCTATCATCCTTATCTTCTTATTTCTATGGCCCGGTCCTTCTGCTGTCTGCATCTGTTTAGTAAAGTTGAGGCAAGCACATTACAAGACTGTGCCCTCCTCCTGCAGCTTGCGACTGTCCAGTAGAGTTGAGGCAAACACAAATATAAGATACATGCCTTCCTCCTGCAGGCTGTGACTGTCCAGTAGAGTCAAGGTGAGTACACACCACTGTACTGTGCCCTCCTCCTACAATAATCTCCTTTTCAGTTGAGATGAGGTGAGCCCATACTAACAAATCATGACCTCCTCCTGCAGCTGGTGTTGGTCCAATAACTGTCTATTGGTAAAGTTGATGTGTGCACTAGGTATGGTCTGAATGTACCCCAACCATGCTATACACATTGGCTGTCTGACTTCTTGTGCTCAAGTAGTCAGAAGGCCATGTTCTTATTCTGCCCATGCCCACAACACATGAGTATTCTTATGTAACAATAATTTGTTTTGGAAGTTTTTACTTGTAGAACAGTTGATGTGTTGGAGAATTTTTAAGTATTGATTGGATTAGTGAATAAATGTGAAAGAATATAATTAGGTGGTTAGTTTTCAGGTATTTACTGTATAAAAAAGTAACTTCCATGGATTGAGTATCCTGCTTTCATTTTCTCACTTGCCTATTTCTTATCAACTGTTTTTTCAGAAAAATTTTAGGCAAGCTTTAGAAAGGAAAAATATTACCCCTGCAACTTATTTTTTTAGTTTCTTATAGTTATATATGTGTTGTAAAAACTAAGAAATTTTGTTAAACATGATAAATATGTGTGAGTATATAAGCTTACCTATTATGCTAAGAACTGGTTTTCAAGTTGAACAACAAGTGTACCATAAAGTCTGCTTGTGGATTAAATAGAATAGCATGATTTGTAGTACTTAACACTTCACAAAGTGTTGCAAATAGTATATTATAAACTTTACTGGAAAATAATATATGACAGAGTAAAAATTTGCATTTTGGCTTTCAAGGTTATAAACAATGAAGCTGTATGCTTTTTTGTTCCGATAAGATAAAAAAAAAGTCCTAACTTAATTGGGAACCTGGTTCAAAACATGGAGTATATAAAAAAAACAAAAAAAAACATCAAAGTAAACTTAGAAATGTGATGTAATGTTCAACTAGCCCTTTTTTATTTTTAAAGAAGTTTTTCATTCTTATCTAAACAGACAGTACATGTATCTTGTTCAATTGTTCAATTCTTATGGTTTGTAGTAGGTGAAAGATGGTATAGGCATTGTAGCTGCAGGTTCTTAATAAAAAGGGCTGCAGAGAATTGTAACAAAAAAATAAGAGCATCACATTACGTACAGGTTTTAATGAAGTATGGAATTAATGGGAGAATGAACCAAAAGGCTTAGACTTGAGTACTTTGATGGTCAATCTATTTTTCATCAAGAGCAAAAGTAATTCCATGATTATGAAACATTTAATAAGTTTTGTTGTTAATCTTGCATAATTTTATTCATTATCGCAGTTTAGTAGTTATTATTTCATACAGTTTTGAACATACACACATCATGCTTATACTATAGTATTTTATTTGTATTAGTGAAAGACTAGCTTATGTAATGCTCTAATAAAAGGCTACACAACATTGACATTTTGTAACATCTTCAAAGTAGGCTGAAGTGTAAACCTAAGTTAATTTGATGTGTATATCTGTACAATCTGTCTGCAAATATGATTCATTTATATAAATCACTATGTTAATAATGGTTGGAAATCACTATGGTGTAAAATATGTATATAAAATTAATCAAGGTATAGTTTTTGTTTATTCTTTAATTATTTACAACTTTTGTAGGATACTTGTTGTAAACAAAGTTTATCATTTTTGTATGCTTTCTTGGCTAATTGGTATAATGTATAAGTTGTGCTCTACTAATGTACACCTTTTATTAGTTTTTTAAGCATCTTACATCTAAAACACTTGGGTTAAAAACATTGAGAAGAACCCTACTGTAAAAATAAATGTTGATAAACTGGCTTATTAATTTTACTTCTTCTATTATAGTGTATTGAAATGTAAAATGAATGTTAATTTGTTAACTGATATAAAAGCTGTTATATTATACCTTAATTTTTTTTACTTGCAAGAAAGAGTTAAAGCAAAATTTGAAAACTTATATTTTTAACCTATCATTGTTTTCTATGTTTAGAATTATCTTTAGTACTAGCTTTTTACAGTGTATTAGTAGTAAATGTAGAAGTTTCAGTTTATCAAATGATGATAAAGCTTGTATCAAACAGTTTGTCCAGAATAAAAATTCAAGACATACATAAAAATTAAGGCAACAGAAATGCTAATGTACAGACAAGTAATTTCCATTGCAAATACAGTTGATCAAATATTTCATCTGAGCTATGAAATTTTTTAAGTAATTATTTCTCTTTTTATGTCACATATTTGATCATGCTTCAATTCTTTCAGATGATCTTTTAACAACAGGAAGCCTACAAGTAGCTAATAATGGGTCTCTAGTCATAACAGGAGCACAAAAGTCACAGGAGGGAATGTATGAATGTTCAGCAGAAAATGGTATAGGGGTAGCTTTGGTGAAGAGAGTCCGAGTTCAAATTCTAGGTAAGCAATACATCTGTATTTTCAGACTGTACCCAAGAATTTGATTTTTTTAAATTTATTTATATCATATTGTTAATATCATAAGAATCCCTCACCTAATCTGCTGACTTTTTATTGATCTAATTTTGAAAATATATATGTTTTATTTTCTAAGATTTTGTCAAAAAAAGGTAAGTTTCTCAAAAGCAACTTTCAAGAGGTGGTTATACTTATATTTTGAACCTATCATTGTGTTCTGTGTTTAGAATTATCTTTGGTACTAGCATTTTGCAGTATATTAGTATTAAATGTAGAAGTTACAATATATCATATTATGAAAAAGTTTGTATTGGACAGTTTATCCAGAAGAATAATTCCAGACATATATAAGGCCAGGGTTTTTATTTTTAGTTTTACAAAAAATTTTAAATGAAGCTATGGGTCAGAGGAGGGACAAAAATAATTAATTTGTGTCATCAGTTACTAGTATGCATGTAATTCAGGTGTCTCAAACCCATTGACTATGACATTCTCATCTTCATTCAGTCTCCAGCCAATGGTTTCATTGAAATAAATTTTTTGTATTGAATGTTTCACAATATGTAAGTTTTTCGATATAATTACTGAGATCCATACTGGCATTTTGCATGTGACTCACAAAATGTATTACTGTTTCATCTGCTTCGTGCAGTGAAAAATACCGTAATCTATCGTTTTTTAAATTTGCAAAATAGCATTGTAAAAATATGCACCCAAGATGGTGGTGCACGTTTGTCCCTAAAATTGGCTCAAATTTCTCAAAGTATTATGGTATATGTGTTGCTACAATGTTTGATCCTTTTATAATACTTTAAATTTTTTTTTCTCACAAACAAAATACCACCTTGGAAATTTTAAAAAAAAGGGAAATCAGAATATTATTTTTTCTCGGAAGCATGATATTCTGCATTGGAAATAAAAGAAGATGGAAATGCAAATTATTATTATTTTTCTGAATTCAAAATTTAAAAGTCGTGGGATTGTAAAACAAAAAATAATAGTATTTTTTTTTCTTTCTTGATCGTGCTTCAATTACTTCAATTCATTATTATCAGTAAGAAATCAATTGATAATTTTTATCAACTTCAATCCTGAGTTGAAAACTATACTTTCAGTTCTGGTAATATTTCAGGCTCTATAGAGACTATGTAAAGTGTTTAGTTGATATGAAAAATTTGACTTTATAATTTACCTCAAAATATTTTTCATACACATGTATTAAATTTTACATCTCCCTCCCTTCTCCTTCCCTTCAATAATCTTACCTGAAGCAGAAAATACATGGTTGAAGTAGCTTTCTGTTTTTGTCATGCTTGTCTATACAGTATGGATTTTTATAAGTTGTTACTCAGTAAAACTTGGGTTGACAGAAGTAAAAGCATCATGCATAGGATTGTCAAATGCAGGGTCAAATAGCTATTACTTATAGTGTTACTAATGAAACAGAGAAAGGCCTTGGTGTAGCTCAGCAAAGAATTCCATTGTAGAATACAATAAATATTCTTTTTCCATGAAAGTGAATAACAGAATTGATAAGAAAATAATATATGGGAAAATATTAGTGCATCAGTTGGGTGATACCTTAGCTCTTGAGCAAGTTTCTTTCACTATATAACATTATAGTTTGTGTCCTGTTTTGTTTAATTTCTTTCGTATAGTTGTTCTACTTATTTAAGTAACAAATCTTCAACGTTTGTAATGCAAGCAAATATTATCATGTATCTGCTTACTTCTGTGTAACACATGAACAAATCTAAAGAAGCTTTCAGATCATAAAACAGGAATGAAAAGAACTTAGTTTTTGAGTATACAGAAGTTGTGGATCAAGAACGAATCTGAAGGGGGGGAGCAGTTTATATTGGGGTTGCCACTGTCACTGTGTACAAAAACAAATAAATCACATATTAGCCCAGTAGCCCATTGTATTATCGTTCAGCAGTAGAGTGGCTTAATTGACTTATTCCATGTGTAAACTTACTGACTTACGGAATTTGCATGCTTGGCTGCTTGATCAGAGTTTAATTTTCTGGTTCCTAATCTTTCTATTCCATCATAACCATTCTGCTGTTGGTACCATAGAACCATAGATTATTTGGTAATACAAACACAGAATTAGGTCAATACAGCATAGCATAATCCTGAATTCATATAACAGTACTGAAAAAATCAAATAATTGTAACATATCCAGTTTTTATATTGTTTTTTTTTTGTTATTTTTCTAGTCCCTCCAATTGTTGAGCAGAAGTTTAAAGTTATAACTGTTGAAGCAGGACGAGATGCTGTTTTGGAGTGTTCAGTGAAAGGAGAAGAACCTTTATTTGTTGAATGGTTAAAAGATAAAAAGCCCTTAAATAGATTGGATGATCTCAGTAAAAGGTAATATTTTATGGGGAAAGTGGATATGTCAAGCAATTTTACAAAACCTTCTAGTTTCACTATACATATGAAATTATATAGTCATTTGACTTTTGTAAAAAATGTACTGTTTTTTAAAATCGAAGGAGACTGAAAGAATAAATAGTTCTTACAATTCAATCACATACTATAACATTGTAGAGAAAACTATGTGATAATCCATAGAAGAACTTTATTTTTGTATTCACTGTAAATATTTTACATTTTATTATTCTTGAATGACATTGTGCCTCTAGAGAGTAGAATCAGTAATAAAAATGAAGTTTTATAGCTTAAGGATTTTTTTGTTTTATGTTTTTTTTTCCTTTTATGGTTTAAGGATTTTGATTAATTTGTAATATCAATTATGTTTCTGGTAAAAAAAAATGCTATATGCACATCTAATGTTATTAATAAGGGCCTATTTGACATGAAAGTCAAGAAGAACCATCAGTAGTAGCTTTTGCTGTAATTGAATAAACTTGTTGCTCTAAAGTACATACAGTAAGGTTATGGCAGTCACATATGAAACATTGTTATGATTAATAACTTTACTGTCATGTAAGCCTCATTACTAATTAGATTATTATATCCTATGTTTCAGTTGCTAATATGCAGCCATCTTCATAATGGTGGTGAGGAGGCTTTTGTACTAGATTGGCTAAGAGTATTACTAGTTAGGTGGATGTAAGGGTTTGTTTATCTTTCTTTTTCTTGTATGCTATCATATCCCAATATTTTAATAATATTTCATTTTACTGTATGGTCATCATCTTCTTTGGTGTGATGGGTTATTGAATATAAGTTGGTATTATACAATCTTGTATGTCATATTATGCTCCTGAATTGTGGCTTGTGTTATTTTTTGTTCTCTAATATATTGTAGTTCACATTTACAAAGGATGTTGTAATACTGATTTATCATGTTACAGAAGTAGAACATATGATAAATTTGAATAACACTAAAATTATAGGTTATGAACCACATAAGAGAATAAAAATGATAAAAGAAGCCTTTTACACACACCTAACTGAAAACATACTCATTCGGATCATCATAGAACTCGGCAAAACTTGGATATCCCTCCTGAAAACATTTGAATAATTAATTGATTCAAGCTTAAATGGGAGTTACCCCCATTGAGTAGATAACAAGAAGACCTACTTAGGATTGAATCTCGAGCCATTCTACCATAAATATTCCTTCTCATGAACATCATGGAGATGGAAACAGATTAATGGCTGAAGCATAGAATCTAAACTAATTATTATTAGTGTCTACTAATACTTCAAACAATTATGAACTAATTAATAATTAAAATACGACTATTAACCATAACAATAATTATTGCTGGCAGTTGTGAGCTGCTACTAGCTTTAAAAAGTCAATTCTACCTTGTTTGCAATGGTATATTTTGGCTAGATATTAGGAACTGGTTTAGTCAAAATTTTATGTTTTCTGAAAAATGGCTTTCAGTTAAGGTTTGTGAACAGTATTGTAAAAGAGTTATTGTGAAAATGTTTACACCTAAGTATTCCATGGGCACAGTGCTCACTGTTATTCAAGTTGCTTGGGTTTTTATTTATCTGACAAAGATTTGTTCTGAGCTTTGAAAACTACAAAAAGTAATAAATCAAAAAAGCTGATTTTATAATCCAGTTAGGCTTCAAAATACTTTTATCAAACCAAACATCAAAGAACTTTTAAGTCATCTCCTTGAAGTAAATATAACTACTAGAAGACTTACAGTGATATGTATAAAATAAAAATAAAATAAATATTGTCATGTAAACTAACATTTTACAGCAGTTTGTCCAAATGGTAGTGTGGGGGCCACACCCTGCCCCTTGGATTCTTTTACAATTATTTTCAGAAACAAATACTAAGCTATAACTTTAAATAACATTTCTCAATCCCTCTGTTCTAATTTTCCTGTTTTTCTCAATGTTTTATAAGAAATTCATAATTTGTAACCAAGTTAATTTTTTCATGATTGTCTAGGTAATGGTGAATGTTACATTTGTTAATTGGTTATTGTAATACTGACAATAGTAATAAATGACTTTTTATATGTTCATAGCTATAATAACATTATTAATTACTATACCAGTACTATTGTACTTTCTGTAGCTTTAATTGAAAGGGACGTGTAACTGATACTTATAGTGTTAATTTGTTGAAAGGCTAGAGATGAAGCATCAAAATGTATAACATAATGCTTTTATACATAGTTTTCGCTAAAATATCAAGCATGTTAGAGATGCTATGTTACATGATTCTGTGGCATAAACTATATCTAAAATCTGTTATACATTTTTCAGTGAAGATGTAAGAAAAAATGATTAGTAGTAGGAATATGTTTGTCTTATAAGACAATAGATATTTGCACTTGTAAAGGAGTTTCGCTCGTGTTGACACTTCAGGGTGTGACTGAATAATCCAAATAGAGAAGAGCATGTTCGTTGACATCTGTCACATGTATGTTCTTGTGTGTTATGAAGTTGATCACGCAGCTTTTGAATTTTTCTGACGTATTTTCTTCTTCCTTCATTCTCTCCTCTTTCTTTCTGAGGCCCAGCTTAACTGCTGGCTTCCAGTCACTCCTGTTCTAAGCAGTTTTTTTCCCATATTTCTAGTTCAATGTCCATAGACTTCATGTCTCTCTTGCAAGCATCTTTGAAACAAAGGTTGGGGAAGCCTGTTGGTATTTTTCCTGTAGCCAGCTCACCATGTAAAAGATCTTTGGGAATATGTCCATCATTCATCCTTCATACATGGCCAAGCCATTTGAGTCTATGCTGGCTAAGAAAGAGATACATGCTGGGGATATTTGCACATTGAAGTACCCCTGTATTTGTCACTCTGTGTCACCACATAATGTTCAAGATATGACGGAGGCATCTCATACGAAAACTGTACAAGTGTCTTTCTTGAGAGTAGTATATTGTCCATGTTTCACTTCAATGCAGTAAAATGCTGACCACACAAGCTTGATTTTTGTTTTGGTTGTTGGTTTCTGTCTTTCCATCTAATGATAGGTTGTTGGTGATACTGAATCACAAGTATGTGAACGAATCGACCACCTCTCGTTGTTCTTCTCCAGTTTTGATGTGTGGTGGTAAGTCTATTCTGTCCCAAGAATGTTGATTGTGAAACCAAACTCTTTAGATGCTTGAGAGAAGTGATTGATTATATTTTGTAACTCACTTTCTGTTTGGATTGTAACAGTTGCATCTTCTGCAAAGAGTAGCTTCTGTATCAAAATGTGATGTACTTCCCATCAGATTGAATATGCAAGTAAATTCCTTCAGTGGATGAGTCAAAAGCAAAGCCAAAGAAGGGAAAAAAAGATCTCAAAGAGAGTAGGAGCAAGGCTGTAGCCTTGTTTCACACCACTCCGTATCTCAAAGGCCGCAGATGATAATCCATCAAAGTTGACAGTTCTTTGCATCTCAGTGTGGAAAAAACTAGATGACACTTAGGAGTTTTGATGGGCAGCTAATTTTTCCACTACCTGGAAGAGGCCTTTTCTGTTAATAAGGTCAAATGCTGTTGTTAGATCTATGAAGGTGATGTATAGTGGCTTTCTTTGTCATCCTTTTTTCTCTTGCATCTGGCAGAAGGAAAATATTGTGTCTATGGTTGACTCTGAAGTCTCATTGAGACTTTGGGTAGACTCTGTCTCCCAGTACCTACAGTCTGGGAAACAATTTTTGCAAATATTTTTTCCAACAATGCTTAAATCCTATAGTATTAGGTGCAATCACTTTATTTTTATACAATGTGACTATGTTTGCATCCTTCATATCTTGTCGCACTTTTTCTTCTTCTCAGCATAAAGTTAGCAGTTCATGTAAATGAGGAAGTAGCACAGAAGATTTTCCACACTTGATCACTTCTGCAGAGATACCATCTGCTCCTGGTGCTTTACATGATGAGATATTGTCAATGTTCTTGCTTACTTCCTCAATCTTTAGTGTCTTGTTTGAGTTGTGCAATGTAGGGAGGTTTTTCTAAGGCACCAAGTGCAGTGTCTGTCACAGTGTTCTCTATGGAATAGAGCTCTAAATAGTGTTCCACCCATCTTTCCATCTGCTACCCTTTGTCTGTTATGAGCTCTCCCATTTTATTTCTTAGTGGAGCAGTTTTCTTAATCACAGGGCCTGTGGCTTTCTTCATACATTCCTCTGATGTTTCCATTATCAGATGAGTGTTGAACAATCTCTGCTAGCAGCTGCCACTAAGAATTGGTGTATTGTCTTGCAGCTCGCTGTACTGCATTCCTTGCTTTTCTCAGCTGAGTAAGTATGTTTCTTTTTGGATTCCTTTCTGTTTCTCTTTTATGAGTGGTTTCATTTTGTGTATGTTTGTTGCAAACTAGTCTTGATTTTTTTCATTTTCTTTCCAAAAATCTTTATAGCCTTCCCATAGGTGATTTACTTTATGGATTCCCATTTTCCATTTGCTGTTTCTTCTGGTGGTATGTCTTCAATAGCTTCTTCAAGGGCCCATTCAAACTGGATGACCTAGGAGTCTGTAGTGTTTGAGGTGTCTATCTGAGGGATACACTGTAAATATTCTTTTCAATTTTACTCAGATTTTGTAGCCAATTAAGGAGTGACCAGTGTCACAGTCAGGACTGTGGAGTGCACAAGTGAAAAGCACATTGTTTTGATTAGCACATCTGGTGATGATAAAGTCTAGCTTATGCCAGTGGCCTGATCATGGGTGCATCCATGATACCTTATAGTGAAGATTTGTCATGAAGAAGGAATTAGTGATGCACCAGCTGTAAAAGGTGCAAAACTCCAGAAGCTGCTGTCCATTTTTGTTTATTCATTCAATGTTATATTTTCTGAGGCAAGAAGCCATAATTCACTGTCAGGGCCAATCTTTGCATTGAAATCACACAGGATATACAGGTTTTCTGTGCTCGGGATCTTGGAGATAGTTCTGGTAAGCTCATCATAAAACTTGTCATTGCCTTCTGAGAATAAAAGAAGAGTTAGAGCATCGGTGCTTCCGAGTAAAAATGCCTTGTGATATGCATAGTCACAGTGTCAGGATTCTTTCCAAGCTGCCAGATGGGTTCTCAATAAATTTCTAAAGTGAGTTTCTTGCCGCAAAGCCCACACTATGTTCCTGATTTTCTTCTGCTGTCTTTCCTTGTCAAAAGAAGGTGTAGTTTTGTTCTCATAGGGAGCCATATGCTGCTATTTGAATTTCCTGCAAGGCTGCAATGTCAATGCTCAACCTATCTAGCTCCATATTAATTACAGCATTCTTTCTGGCAGCTGAGATTTTATCAAGGTTACTTGTCAAGCTGGGGCACATGGTCTTAATGTTCCTTGTTGTTATTTTCAAATATACTTTTTATTTCTGTCTGGTGCAATGGATACGGTCTGCTTTTTGGGTTTTGCCCTAAGCCCCAAGCACACACTGAGGTAGATAGACAATGGTGGATCAGCACCTTACTGGCTGAGAACTGCACAACTTGAGGCAGCAGTAGCTGGTTAGTGAGATGTAATGATCTCTCCCACCATTCCTATTCAAAAAACATAAAATTTATGTAAAAATTGATTAGTCATGAACATTTTTAAGCTTACTTTTTATGTTATTATAAGATATTTTTTAAAAAAACAAATTGAAGATATTCTACATTATTGATTTAGAGAAAAATTATAGAACTCTGTAAAGGTTTTCATTATAAATTAGTGACAAACACAAGATAGTAATAATAACAAATTGAAGCTTTCTTACATTAATCTACTATATCCTTGAGTTTGGTACTAAAGGTGCAAATTTGTCAGACACATTGAGATTGATGCATTGTTTTTGTTCACACAGTGAATTGTGTTACATATTTTCAGTGTTGTTCATTGCTTATAAATTCTTCTATTTAGATCTAGAACAGAACAACTACCATCAGGTGAAGGAGGAATCAAAGCATTATTAAGGGTTTCTTCAGCTCAACGAAATGATGGTGGACTTTATAACTGTTCTGCAAGTAATCGGTATGGAGAAGACAACATGATCATCAGAGTAGTGGTGTTAGGTAGGCTGGTCACAGTTAGATGCATATAGTAGTCAATTTGTTATTCTTAGAATCATTTACAAAGTAGGTAAAGTGATGTTATTGTAGATTTAACCCTCACTCAAGCAACATATCAAATTAGCAAACAAAACACACGTAGATGTAGCTTACAAGTTTAATCCCTTCAAGACAGGTCATGAGTGAAAGGCCATATCATCTCGTTTGTTGATTCACATTCAAAATTTTATTGAACTACTATTTCTTGAATTTATGTCAATAACTTTGATATCAAACTGTAGATTATAATTCAAATTTTAGTACTATACATCACTCAATTTCTTAATTTAAGAGTAAATATTAAAAACACAGATAAACATCAATTTCTTTGGGTGTGTGTCATGTGGTATGTTGAATGCAGCACTGGTTCAAATTAAATGTTTGTGAAGTTAAAATATTAAGTCTGTTGTTTTGTACGAATTAGAAACTCAAATTACCGATATTGACAAGCTAGATTATAGAATAAGAACATCTTATCTTTTCTGTTTGCTAAGATATTGCTCATGTAATAAATCAAACACAGTGCCACCCGCCCACCTCTTTTCATTTTTATAAACTCTCCCTTATATACACTTTTATATATGACATTAATAACCAATTAGAAACTCAGAATGTCCCCTTAGTAGCTTTCTCAGCCATTTTAATGGGCTTGGATGCCATTTATTTCTTTTGAACCAAGATTTCAAGGAGGTAGGGTGTGTGCTATTAGTCTGCTCAAAGTTTCTTATTTTTTTAGACTAAAATACATCTTAGTTACTAAGCTTGATAAATTGTAGTGGTTTTTTAGGTTTTATATATACATTTGAATAACTAAAAAAATCATAAATTACTACATCAATACCATAGAATTAAAATACAGTCAAATATCAATTATTATACATTATATACGTATATATAGATTATTGCTATTTTGAAATAAGTTCTCAGTTATTTTTCCTAAAACACAGAACAGTAAATAAAGAAGTAAAGTTAACAATTATCTCCTCTAGTTACAACCTATGTACTCAGTTGCTGCTTGACGTAGATTGCTAAGCCTTTAAAAATTTTGCAAGTGGAGGATATGAAACAAAATAACAAAATACTAGTGTACTAAAACACAGCCAAGACAAGTTACTTTGTATAGACCAAAGGTCACCTTCATGTTATTTGATATGGTAACATGAGTGCACATGAGCCTCATCATTGTAACTTCTGCATTGTTAGCCAAGCATGGGTGAAAGGTCAATATAAAAAAAAATATATATATATATATATAAATGTATGATCTTGTGAG